TGTATATGTCATAAAAATGTACCAGACCCACATACAACATGTCTAAATGATGAACATATTCTTACTTTTTTAAGTAGGGATATTAATGGCACATATATATCAGGTGAAAAAGTAAATCTTATCTTTAAACATTTTTGCTCACGGATGCACTGAGCACAGCGGGACAGCATTTTCTTTGGAGTGCATTACCTGTCCTGATCTTCCCTTGATCACTGCCTGCAAGGGCTCAGTAGGAGTAAAAAGGTTTTGATGTCTGGGTGCTATTTGACAGATATATATTAGTATGCTTACAGTGTGGAACCTGTATTAGGAGTTAATTAGGGGGAGGGAATAAATGTCGGGTCGATCATGTCCTTCTTTCATGTGCTTCCAGTAAAAGTCTTGCATGTTTTTTTTGTGCGTGTTTACCAGTATTCTGGCTTTTGGTTCAGCACAGTTCATGGAATAGGCTTCACTAATGTACTGTTGCTCAGAGGACACTTTTCCTGTAAAACGGCCTTTCCTTGTGACTCATTGAAGCATTCATGTTAACGCTTCAGACAGACGGTCTCTTAAGGATATCCCCTTTAAAAAGCAGCAGCTGCAATAGGAAATGGTTTTATGTGTTTCCAGCTTTGTGTTGACTTACTGTATTCACAAGTCTAGTCTTCTTTAGTTACAGTTAGTAAAGAGGGCAAAAAGGGCTTTTTTCCTTCTTGGGAAGGGAGCCACAAATGGGTCATTTTGTTGCTACCACATGGAGGTGACAAACTGTTCGTCCCTGATACTTTTGTGCAGTAGTGACTCTGAGGACTGAATTATTTTGATAAGGGACAAATTGGCATAGTGAAGTTTAGGGAAATTATACACCAGTGTTGCAATAGTTATGAGTCTTAAAAAAATGTCTTGAAACATATCACCTATGAAAAAAATAGATACTAAATTCATGGAATCACTCTTCTGGGTTTTCTGTCCTTCCTGGTAGCTAACTTATACCACACCAAAAATCCCTCAGTCTTGAAATATTTGAGAACATTGGTCTTGGCAGAGGCGTATCTGGGGAAAAGATACAGAAACTTGTGAAATGGACATTTTTTATTTCTTTCCACAAATCGTTTACTGCAAAAAACGTCTGCCATTTCCATTTTGTGCTTCTTGTCCCATATTGAATTAGTACCATGGAAAGCAGATCACCCCAGAAGTGAAGCCATAACTCTAAACCCCATTAGCTAGGCTTCCTGCTGAAGCAAGTAGTCCCATCTTGCTCCTCTTCACAAGCCACCTTTCTGTTGTCCTGACACAAGCATCGGCTTGACTACATGATGCCATGGATCAGATGGATTAGGGTGACCTGTTCAGTAGTAAAGGCAACTTATTTATCAGATTATTTCTGGCCTTGATCATTGCCCGGCTCTAGTTCACTTTCCTGAACTGCTGTAAGGAGAGGACAGTGTGAGTGGGCTGCTTCAGTGGGCCAGTGAAAGTGTATGTGGGATTACAGTACCGTGGAAGAAAATGCTGGCTGAACACGGACCCAGGGAAATTTAAGCAAGCCATAGGTCTAGGAATAAAACCTGGAAAGCTGCCCTCAATCTAGTCCTTTATTTTTTCACTTCAAAACAAAATTAATGGTGTCAAAGTCCTTCAAAAAGTTATTTGAGATGTTATACTTCTTATGAGCAGGGGAAAACAAGGGTAAAGTATTTCCTATTCTACTCTTGCATGGAAATCTCTTTCAGTGTCTTAAACAAATATGGGAAGCACTTTTAAGTAGAAAAGGACAAAAATGCTGTACAGAAAAGTGGCTTCAGGAGGCAGTGAAATAATCACAATAGCACATGAACACATACTAAAAAACGTATTAGAGTTTTTCTCGGTATTTGTCATACCACATCCCATTGATTATCCTTCAGGTCTGTGATCTGTCTAAAAGTAAAGCCCTAAAACTCTTATTTACCAGATAAAAACAAAACCCAATACCTTCCTCAAAAAGCTCCTCCCCTTCAAAAAAATGGGAGGAGTATGAGCGCAGTCATTCCATTGTGTTTTCCAGAACATGGCCTCCTTTACCTATCACAGCAAAGAGCAAGTAATCCTTTTCTTCTGAGGTGATGACAAATTTGGAGGAGACAGATTATTTGGAAAACTGTTATGGTGTGACAAGCACAAAGCAGCCTCCTACATGAAGTGGGACATTAAATGGGTGTTCTTAGATATGTTTGTCCTCCCAACAATGTGGAACAGTTGAAGTTGTACCTGCCAGATCAGCACTGCTCTTGTCTGCCTCCAAATCACCCCACTTCATAAAATTCCATGAGAGCTTCCATTAAAGAGGGCCCACCAGGGAAGCTGAGATATATTTCAAGTTTAGGATTTCTCTATCAATTTTTAAACATCCTTTTGCATTTCCCTTACTAAGTTTCTGTAAGACATTTCTCTTGGCTGCCAATAGAATGGAATAATCTGACAAAGCAGATTGTCTTCAGAGCATCTGTAGTGTGTTTGTGCACTGTGCTCTCCTAGCATAGTTCCCTACTTGTGGAAACTGCAAAAGACAACTTTGTGCTTGCATGCCACTTCACTGTCATCCTACCCCAAGGAGCAGTCTGCCTTAGCTGTAATAGCTTGATAAAAACAGGGTGTCTAGATGCCATGGGAACACTGTGGTTCCATGTGCATATTTGAGCAGGGAGCGTGGCTGTATGGAGGAGTGTGGCTGTATGGAGGAGGACAAGAAGAATCTCTGATGAGGAAGGACAAACCTGGTCGAACTGAGGTATGAGTAACAAAACAGAAAACATCTTGCTTTTTGAGATCAAGTTGTTTTTTTTTTAACTTAGCCCTAGGGGATGGTTTATAAAAGATTGTTTTCACCTGTAAACCTAGAAATGCCTGGGCAATCAGGACTGATTGAACTCAGGGCCGGTTGCTTTGCAAGAAATGATAGCAGGCTCTAGAGCCACTGTCTGTGGGTTATGCTCCAAACACAGTGCTGTTGAAATGTGTGATGGGATCTGTGTAAACTCTTCTAAATCCATTTCTTCTACATCCACTGTTAAGTCTTGAGGGTAAGAATAATGACCCACTGCTAAGATGCGAGATGAATACGGGTTTTCTGAAGCCTGTTTTGTGTGTGCTTGTGATTTACATGGCACAGATCTACTCATGCTGAAATACAAACATAACTTAACGACTATCTGGGAGGGCTTTGAAGAACTGACACATCTCCAATACACCAACACCAATTTCAACTCCTTCTTATTTGTGATTATGTTGTTGCTTAAAATGGGAGGGGAAAATTCTCCAAATGATATTAGGTACAGATAAGACAGCAGCTCTTTTAATGAAGGCCTTCTGACTCACAGAGTACAAAGGTGCACCCACATACAGAGTTCTTACACTTTTATATCTTTTACTAATTATCATATCTGATGGGGACATCCAATCATAAGACCCCTTTTGCCCTGGTAACACCCTCAGAACTGCCCCACTGGTGTCCCTCCAAGGGTCTTGAGCCTTCTATCTTGTCTTGTCTACCATATCTCTTGTTATTTCAGTCCAGGTGTGTGTCCCAACTGAATGTTCTTGCTAATAATCCGTTGCCTTGAAAAGACGGTTAAAAGATGGTTAAACTGAAGCTTTAGGAATGTGACACACAAACTGTGAGAAAGTAATGGTCTAAAGTGAAAGAAAACTACAGCTACATTTAAATTTACAAAAAGCTAAAAATCTTAAAATTCTAAGGTATCAATTTAAAAAATGCCTTGCAACCGTGTTGTTCTGCCCTGTTGGGCTAATCTGAGATGAAACATCTTGTTCATATAATGTGCTTCAGTGCTCTTTTATGAACTTCTCAATACTGAGACTAAGTTGTTGGAAGCCAGTCTTCTGTTTCCTCGTCTGCTGGGGACTGGGGAGGGGGGAGAGGGGGCGGAGATTTGGGCTCGTTTGTTTTGTTTTCCAGAAATTATCATGTCGGCTTAGCAAATATGGAATTCTGGATGAGAAAATGAAGACTGACTTCCAACAGAGGGTTGGTTATTGAGGTGAAATAGTATCCCAGGCTGGGCAATGTAAAGAGAAACCCACCTGTTTGTATGAGATGCCATTAAAGTGCAGGAAGGTGGGGGGATAATCGAGGCCACTTTTGCAGGGGTTATTACATACAACAAAAGGAGGAGCAGTGTCCCTGTCCCAAAGCTGCATTATATAGTCTGGTGTCCCCCTGAAACTCAACTCCCATGTTTCTTCCTTGACAATGGGACCTGAAATAACCTCTTGGTTTTGGGTTTTAGTGTGTTTTCAAGTATGTTCTTGCTTAAGGTTTAATTGGCTCCAGTCAGTAGGAAAGGGCTCCAAGGCTGATTATTTATGGCTTACTGTCAAAAGTGGCTATAAAAAGGGCAGTATTATCTTGGAGATGCTGGGAAGGAAAATGTGGTGGGGGGAGGGTGGGGAGTGTGTGTGTGCACGAATGTGTTTTCTTGTACTAGATGAAATCAGAGTTTTGCTGTCTCAGCAGTGTGGTTTAAATTGAAGATTAACCCTTTGACCTTCACGGTGTCAAATCACTTACAGATGGATCACCAGTTATATTTTTTCTTTTTTTTTACTTTCGGGGTGAAGGGGGGCTTTTTTTTTTTTCTTAAAAAAAAAAAAAAAAAAAAGGTTGTTTGTTCATGCAGCTGGGGCTTTTGAAAGGCTCAGAAGCCAATCTGATTAAAAACAGCACTTGGCTAAACTCTGCAAAATCCTACAAGCAAAAAAAAAGTTTAATCCTCTTGTGCACAATGCATAAAGGGTCTGCTCTTTTCTTTTTGTAATGTTAGAGCTACAATTATTTCTGGAGAACTTATCATTTCCCTCTCTCCCCTCATCCTTTGCTGCACCCCCTTGTTATGCTGATGGGATTAAAGTGTCTGCTCTTGAAAAGTGTAACTGAGTTGTTATTGGAAAAGAGAAGTGGTATGTTGCAATTTTAGAAATATAAATAACCTTGCTCCAACTGTTCTTCTCTACAGCATCAGCAGAACAGAAATCAAGTGTGGTGGCAGCTTTTTCTCTTCCTACACAACTTGGCCTTGAACACGGAGGCGAACAGGAACCACGCTGGGCAGAGGTGAGCTTCGCCCGCCTGTTTCAGGCCACATCCAGTCTGCAGGGAGCACTGAACAAACACTGGTTCGGGGGCGAGACATTGCACACCGCCGGCCGGATGTGAGGACTCTGACTTTCTGATACTCGTCTTCAAGTTTGGGTGTTTTTGTGGACTCTTCTTTGCCGCTGCCTGCCTCGCGAGGCAGGGAGCTCTTGTCCAACACTGTCAAAGGAAAGCCAGAATGTGGGTGTGTTTGGTAAAGCTTGCTGCTGGTTCCCCGCACCGGTGACCTCTGTGCAAGGGAGGCTTCCTCTGCCCTGTGTATTAGGTGATAGTAGAGTGCTGGAGTGTCATTTTGGCTGCTAGTTAAAAATGATGGTAGTTAAAAATGATGCCTGGGATTGGTGACTTAATGTACTTTGGGTATCTTCCAGAGCAGAGATGCTCAATTCCTCCACATTTTTAGCAATGAAAAGCATTCAAGTAGCTTAAATCCATCGTGTTACTTGTTTTCTTCATTGGTTACTGTTTATTTCATTGCACCCTCTGTGAGAGAAAATAACAAAGAAATCTGACCTCTTCAGTCATTCCATTGGGCACCAGTTGCAGCGCTCTCACATGAAGTTGTTCTTTGTTATTGCCATCAATAGAAAAAAATGTTTTAAGTAGAACAGTCTTAAAATGAAACCTTCCTGGAGTTGCTGTTGACTAGCAGGTTCTACCACTGGTTGCTTCCAGTTCAGTGTTCTCAGTGCCCATGAGCCAGCATGAAGCCAAAAACCATGCAATATGACACAAGTGTCATTCTTCTACAATGCTAATGTATATGTTTTTACTAGTTTTATGATGGGTGTTTATTTTGTGTTGTCTTTCTTTTCTTTTACTATAATGTGGTTGATCAGGAAGGCTTAGATCCCAGGCATCCAATGGTTTTGCTTCAGGATTTGACAGGGAAATTAATTAGCATCTAATCTGATATGTACACTGTACAAGCAGTCTGTCCATTACTCTACTGTGCAGTGTTTGGAGGCTGCTGTAGGCATATATTGACTAGCAGCAGTAGTATGACTTCAAGGGAGATCTTTTAGCAGTTCCCAGTTTGTATGCACTCAGAAGTTTGTCCATATGGCTGACACTATTGGACCAGCACAGGGAAATTAACCTACCAAAAGGAACTAGCCTTAAATATTGATAGCTACTTTTCTGTAGCCTTAAATATATTTAGTTCACAAGCCCAGTGACAACTAGGGTAAAACACAAACAGAAAAGCAATACAGATTTTATCTTTTTTTGGAGCATTTCCGTATTGCCACTGCACCTTGTTGTAGGTCTCAGATGATACAGGCAGCATGAGGCAGAGCTGTCCAGAGAATGGCTCTTCACTTGTGTTACAGGTGTTGACTGCAGGTGTTGAGAAATTCTTCTGCTCTTGGTCCACTCTGAAAAATAAGCATTACTGTACGGAAGAGTAGTTTACTTGCACATATGCTTTCCTCCTCCACCCCTCTCTGCATATTCTTCTCTAATTCATGCTTTCTCTGGTAGTTGTGTAATCTCATCATTGCACTGTAGTGTCTGGTAACAGTTTGCTGAACAGAGTTAAATTTGGACCTTCTCCCTCTCTCCCAGCCCTATTCTCTTGATTTTTATCCTGCTCTACTGTGGCAAAATGTACTTTAGCTCCCTGAAAGAGGTCCCTAAGCCTTTTTCACTTTCATATACTCACAGGCACTCTCTTTCAACATAAGGAGAGCTTATGTGAGAAAACCTTTTTTTTTCTCCTTTTATGTTATATTTCTAGCTAGAGCTAGAGTAATATGTTTGTCCATGATGGTTAATAATTCATGTAAATGAATCTCAAGTAATATTTTGTGGGGTGGGTTTTATGGAGAGGGAGGGTGGGAGGGTTTTTTAGCAGGAGGGATTGTTTTTGGTTTTGTGTTGTTTCTTTAAGCATGTGCACTACAGAGTTACCCAGAGTGATCTAAGTGGTCACTGTTGCTGACTTTGCTGCAGCAGTGTGGAAGCCACTCTCTGCCTGTGTTGACAGAGATGAGGCTTTCCATACCTTGCTTTGCACAGTCTGCTTGATGTAAACGCTGGTCATTGGAGAAAGAGGACTTAAATGGTGGGGAAAGCCCGAGGGGTAGTGCAAGCACAGACTGAACTGGGGACCCCTGAGGAGCTGAATGTTAAGCAGATGACTCTTAAATGAGAAGCTCTTTAAGATGCAGAAGAGTGCAGAGGCTCAGGAAGCAATGCAGCAATGCTGCCTCCCTGCATGGCATGCTCTAGGATGTGGTGCTTGCATTTTCCCACTGGTTGCCAGGACCCCTTTATCAGGAACAGTCAATGCTACATCATAACAGCCCTGCCAACTATGAAAAATTCAGCTACTGCTTCTGACACTTAAAAACCATTGTGAGCTTTCCCCTTCCCATCTGCCTTGACTTGACGGCCAAACAGGCCAAGAAGGCCTGTCTTCTGGATGAGTAAGCTGGAAAGATAGGTCTGGTACTGGTGCTTTCTGTTGTTGTGACCCAACCAGTTTATCTAAGGCAAGACTCTTCTTAACATGGAGAAACAAGTGCCTGAAATGGTTCCCCAGTCAGGCTGCCTACTTCAATAGAATCATTTGGCTCAGGGAAGGATAGGTCTTTGCCAGTCCATATTTCCCATTGCAACAACAGACTTATCAAAATTGGTCATGCCAGGGTCTCAAGTTAAAATCTACTTGAACAACAATACTTCATTGGAGACATAGAGCTAATGCTAGACAAAGGCCGACTTCCTGCAATATGCGTGTTGGTTACTGGTGCCAGAGATTTACAACCACTGATAATATATTTTAATTATATTTCATATCTGCATATCTTGGAGAAAGGAAATACGCTCTGTCAACCCAAAAGTCTTACTTTGCTTCGTGTAGATTTGGAGGGGCAGGCTGGTTATTTAGATATGGAAAAGCAACTGCTTCATACTTACAGTCTCACCTACTTGAGGAAATAGTGGGAAGATTTCACACATTTATTAAAAAATACATGGATGCACAGCACCCATGTATGTGTCACCCATTTTACGTTACTAAGGTCTCTTGAGCACCCACTGAGGAGATCTTGCCTGCAGAGTAGCTATTGCAGTGTGGCCATGGACATATGTCGATTATTTGGAGAAACAGTTCCAAAGAACATGGTTTAAATCCTGTTGGTGACTGATTATGCTCAGGTTTTTAGGTATTAGTTTGTTTTGGTGAAAAGAACGGGACACTGTTTCTCTCTGTGCTGTAAAACTACAGTCTAACAATTTAGAAAGAAGAGTTGGATCTTTCTTCTAAAACATATGCCTATTTCAATGAGCAGTTCTTAAGAAAAGCTTGACCTGCTGTTGATGGTACCAGCAGCCTTGAAATATCTTGCTTCCCTTCCCCAGATCTCCAGAATAGCTTCAGTCCTCACTTCTATTTCCTTGAGGTGTCCTGTTCTTCCTGTCCCTTCCCAACTGCCCACCCTTTTGAATATCATGTAGCCTGCCCATCCCGGGATCCTGCAAGCCTGGTGCTAGTAGGGAATAGTTAGCTTTAGTTTTGTTTCCTGCAGTTCTTGAAAGCTGAGCCAGTAATCACAAAGTGACTGCCCAGGGATAGCTGCAAACTGCTGCAAATAGGATACAACAAAGGCAGGGGAGAGGATGAAATTGCATAGAAAGGGTTGCTGATGGATCTGTGTAGGGCTGCAACCTTCTCTTAAGGTGCTGATAATCCCTGGTAGCACTGAATTCCTGCATAACTGATCACATATCTCAATTTAAATAGCTGGTCGTTATTAAATATTTGTTGGCTAAGCTCTAGTTTGAGGAGTCCTGAAAGAAACATCCTTATCAGCCTTTGTTTTAGAGCTGTGTATCAACAAGAGAATAGAGGCAAGGAACCCAACTTTTCTGGATGTAGAAAGGGTGATTGCAAAGGCATCTTTCTTTCTACTGGCTGTTTACTTTGTCCTCTCAAGCCTGGATATGGGCAGTGTGTGCATGTGAGGTCACTGCAGTGCTGGAGTTGCTCCATGGCAGTCACTGGAGCTGTACCCAAGGTGGAACTTCATTCAGTGTGGCACTTGGCACTCTTTTGGGAAACAGCAGATTCTGACCATTAGTAGATTAGGGAGAAAGATTGCTTTTCTTTAAAGAAAAAGCAAAATTACTTGAGGCAGTTATTGCAAGGTGGCCCTGTCAACTCTGCAATTAATTCCACCTTTCCACTGCTGGTCCTGTCCCATGTCTCTGCTGAACTTGTGGGAATGGTGAGACTGTGACATGCTGAATGGTGTGCTATGTAAAGGGAAAAACAGAGAAAGCACTCAGTATATGTGCTAGAATCAAAGGAGAATGCGGATTTGTGGAGGTCTTGCCTTGTTTTGCCAGCAGTATTTACTGCGGGATTGTAAGTAAAAGAACCATGGAATGCCCGTTCATATTCATGGGAGCTCTGCACATGAACCAAGCGTTACTGAGTATTAGCATAATTTGACTACAAAGGTTTTAATAATGTCTTTCAAAAGAGTCCGTTTTTCAAACTGGCATTTGTGATCATTTGCAAAAATGCCTACCTGTTGCCTTTCTTTTAGCAAGAAGAAATACCTCAAGGAATTGATAAAAGGTCCTAGGACAATCTTTTACAGTTCCTAAAGACTTCAGTGGTCTCTGTTTCTTTGGTTTGCATGTGTTCACGCAGGTGTTACACAGCTCAGTTCTTCTCCACCAGGAAAAGCAGAAAAGACCAAACACATCAAATGCACTGGAATGTAATTGTGTGTGTGCGTGCATGTGTGTGGGTGTGTGTTCTTGAACTGAATGCAGTCTGACATCCCCTACCCCTTCTTTCTTCCACGTGCCTCACCTTCCCCCTTAGCCACAGAAAGGAGGGTCTCTTCCTGTGAATCCCATGCTGGAAGTTGGTTTCTGGGAAGCAAAACCTAATGTCTGTGGGCTGTTTTTTAAAAGCCATGTTTCGGTTCTGTCTTCAGACTCTGTGCTGCCTTTGGGGAATGAAGGGGTGGGAAGGGTAGATTCTTAAACTGTTTTTAAAATCTATTATGGAAATTTTGCATGTATAAAGTTATTCTTAAATCTAAAGGAGTCTCCCCAGTTTGTGGACACAGCTCCAGGAGAGCATCATCACAGATTCCTCAACTCAGTTTTTGATCAGACTATTGTGAAAGAAGTATTTGAAAAAATGGGGAGAGACCAGTGCAATGGAAAGACAACATTGTCAGGATCTCCTTAAATGCATGTCAGAAGTTAGGCTTGTAAAAGGGAAATTTCAGAACAACACGAGGGATTTGTATGTCTGTTTCCACTGTGTGCATTTGAAAATCCTGCCACTAAATTTGAATTTGGGTATGTAGATGTTGGGTGTTTTTTCGGTTAAATTAATTATGTATCTCTTCTGTTCCCTTCAATGGTATGTAGTACAGTCTCCCATGTTTCTTGGTGAAATTCACTGATGAGAATACTGTGAAATATGAATTCACATTTTCTTCCCCCTTCCTCCACGTCCCCCCTGCTTCCTGCATGACTTTTCTACTTTGGTGGGATACTTAAAAAAAAAAAAAAAAAAAGAAAACTTGAAAGAGTCCTTCATCTGGAAAACAAAAAGGGTAAGGTGAGCTAGAATTTGCAATGTTCTTAATAAACTTCACCTCAGTGAAGGGTTTCCCCATGACTTCTGATATTCACCAGAATATGATACTGTCCTGCTGCAGAAGTAAACCCGATGCTCTCCTGTGAGATTTCTGTCTGGATTAGTCCTGAAGTGCACACACCTTCTTTGCCATGGACTGAGACCCAGTGAGAATGTAGCATTTTGTTTCTTCTGGTTGTGTGCCTCCAGGACTCCTGCTTGTACCAATGGTGACTGGGCAGAACTCCTTTTGGTTTTGTATCTGTGCAGTATATTTGCTTTGTGCTTTCTTCTTTGGTGCTTTTTAATACTTTAATACTTGGATTTTTTTTTTCTAATAACTGGTACAATTTTTAATAAAATTGTTAAATTCTTTGTCTGTGTTCTTTGTTTTATTTTCTAATGGATGGAGGGCATTTACACAGCCGGCCCATTCTGGAGTTACCCAAATCAGTGATACAATTTGTGATGTTCAACTTTGAAAATATATCTGGTAAATCATTTTATGTGCACCCTAATAACGGGCCCTGCAACAAAGACAAGATTTCCTTTCCATATTGCACTGCTCTCCTAGGGCATAATTTGATTTATAAAATAGTCTTTCAAGAAGATATATTCCCATGCTTGGACAGAGAACTGCTGCTCCTTGGAGTTGCATGGTTAACTTGCTGCTTCAAATCAGGAAGGTCTTGTTAAGACATACATGAGGTGCATCCTCCAAATTTGCAAAATGTGACCTTTGATTGATGACTGCTTTCCTACTGCCTGCACAGGTACATTCAAAGGCACTGAAGCCTTGTGAATAAAGACTCATTGCTTGGTAATCCTACTAAGGAAATATGGTTCTCACTGGTCTGCTGACGTAAAGGCAGCAGAGGAAGGTGGTCATGGCTTTGAGAGTGCTTGTGGAGTGGTAATGACTCCTTCAAACATAGACATGAGAATGTCTTAGCCATCCTAGGCACAGCAAGACACGTGTTTTGGTAATCACTAGGCCTGTCATGAAGTTTTCCTCTGTTCCTGTAGGGAAAACCATCTCCATTAAGTAACAGTAGTTCACCTGGGTGGAGCAGCAATGGTGATGTGTGTATTGTGAATAATTTATAATATAGCTGGTCAAATTCCTTCAACCACATTCCTCCTCCAGTGCAGTGATGCCACAGTGTTCATGGGAGGCTTTAGGGCACTGAGTTAACAAT